GAGGGGGGGGGGGTGAAGGCATAAACACGCATGGCCTTTCTGTAACACACGGTGTGCGATATAAGGGATCGCCATTAGTTTTTCCAACGCTTGTACATGGTCACTGATAGCCGTCGCGCCATCAGATTGATGCGAGGTGAGCAAAGACGAAAGCCGTCTGGAGAGGAAGGATTCCGGCCGTCAAGGAAGTAACTTCAAGTAAGGAGAGGAGGGTGCATAATGAGGGTGAAGCAATTTGATGTCCTCTTCGTACGCGTACAAGACATTTAAATTTTGAGGCAGAAGGGGCATTTCTGAAGTGTGAGGGCATCGGTTTGGATTTATTACTTTTGAGGTTACGGCTCTATTTTCGGAAAGCTGACATATTTGTTTCACACAGGGGGTCCTCCGACACAGCCATCTTGAAGCAAACGCTGGTCAGTGTCGGCAGCAGACAGAGAGCGCTTTCGGCGTTGCCACGTATGGCGGCTTGGCGCAGGCGAGCAGCGGCCCAGACATCGAGAGGAGCAGTTCCCCTACTCTGTCGCCTGCTTCATCTACGCCGCTGGAACGGCTCCCGAAAATGCCCGTATCGGGATGCCCGTAAAGAGCAGGAATGGTCTCACCACAGTGGCGAGAACGTGCATTGCACTTTCCGTGCGTTTACACAGGGGTACAGCTTCACTCGCTCCCGAAAGCGCGAGCAGCAAATCACTTGCCCCCCAAGCGCGGCCGGATCTACCTGAAGCGAGCGGGACTAAACGAGGCCAGAACGTTCGACAGCGGCCCATCGGAACGAGACGGACAAGGATGCAATTTCCACTGCAGCCGCAATGGGACTCTGTAGGGACCATATGTCTGCTGCGTACTTGTCTGCGCACACGAGGCGGAACGCAGACGCGACGGGACGGGACGGGCACTACGCTTCACCTCAGAGATTTTCATGCGACTACGCCAGCAGTCATCCAGACGGATGCTGGTGACGATCGGAACGGCAAGCTTTATAACATTATAACGATTGTTGAATAAACACTAGCTGTTTCTACAGACCGTCTTCATGGCTCCCTCCCGGACCGGCATAATATTTAACATAAACCTTCTTTATGTAAGCGTCCTTCAGCAGATGAGATGCATCGAGGCTTCTGATTTAAAAGTCTCTCATCTACATTACAACAGACTATTTTAACTCCAGTCCACGCGCCACAGTGTCAGCGAAGGCATCACGCTACAGCTCCTTCGCGACGCATGCTCATATCCGAACTCCGGTAGCGAACTGCCCTATTCAATTCGTTGACAGTCGAAGAAGGGAGCGATTTGGATTGGGAGTGGCGAACACACCTGGGCTCCGAATAGGGTTAACAGAAAACGTACAATTCAAATCAATTACACAATATAATAAGAACGTGAGACTTCACATCTCTTTCTTAACAAGTCACATTACATTTGGTGCGAAAGATTTCGCAACAAAGCGAGAACGGGAAGCACGGTTCCTTCTTCGACCTTCGATCGGGCAGTCGTAATTAGATACGCATCCCCTCAGCCGGCGTTGTACTTGTCTGCGTCCGGGATAGCGGGCGCCGACGCTGTACAGTGCAAGTTGGAACAGCCTGCATTATTATATCAGTGATTTTTCAACTTTACACTTTATTCTTTAAGAAATAAATCAAGTTATTGGAGCATAATTCACCGCATGACATTGTTAAATATGTAGCGGATTACAACGTACAATTTTACGAAGTTAATTCCGCCAAAGCTAATAGCTTCATTTTGAGAGAAACGATATGTCACATCTCTCCAGACGCAGCGTTAACATTAATGAAGCTGCATCTATATTATCCAAAGCATTTTGTTTAACTATAAAATTACTTTTGGCGGAAAGAAACATTCAAATTCCGTGAAAAATTGGGAATATATTGAAGAGCTATCTTGCAATTGCGCATGCAATTGCGAGGCTCGTAAAGTAAATGCTATAAAATTAATTTAAAAAATATATTTCTGCTTTGTATTTATTACGGTATGAATTATTTATTGTAAATGCTGGCCCTATAAATCTATTTCTAGTGTTCGTACTTTTTTATAAGGCTTTTAAAACTATTATTCAAAGTTATTTCATAATAAATTGGAGTGATTTTAATGGGAATATTTCTGCATAATAAAATTGGTTAAAAATTTTTGCATAACGAAATGTAAGTGCACTTATGAATCGCACGAGTAACGTGGGGTACGATGTCTTTGCACCAATCATTACTTTCGTTTTATAAAGCTCTCTTAGGTTTCTAAAGATAACACTTTCATTTATTATAATTCATTCTACTTAAATTTGAATATTAATACGGGGCAAGTATTTTTGCTGATCAATTGTGGGGTAGGGTCTTTAATCCGCAGGCACTTCATGTCAAGTGGACCTTGCAATTAGAACTTGTACAATTGCTTCATAAGTAACTTGTAATTTGCAGCAAAAGCGGTAAATGTGAAATGGAATCATAATTCTACCCATCGACACTTAATAAGACAAAGAAAAAACATTTAATTGAATACTTTTATACCTTTCCGATTCATTTTCTTCTCCAATTTTCGACGTTTCGAGAGGAGGATCCCTGAAAAGCAAGCTACTCAGTTTTTCAGCTGTCGTTGAATCCTCAGTACATAAATCCATATCAGACGAATTATTGGAAGGTTCAATTGGAAGAGGTTTGTCTGGTGGAAGTATGTTTTCTGATGCACCTGTAATATAAAATTTTCCATGTACTTAAATCATTATATGAACTTAGAATGTCGAGGAACGAAATTGTTGAAATGAATAAATCACGAAAAACATTTTAAGCATTTTACGTTTACCACCACAATAGTTTTCCAGAACAGTGGGAGGAATGGATTTCTTTAACGATTCTCCTCTAGGTGGCGGGGGTGGTGGCGGTTCCTCGATTTCATTTTCATCCTTTGCCTTCATCCATTCAAGTTCAATTTCAGTTGAATTTGCATTGTTTCTTGATATTTCCATTGTATCCATGAAAGAAGAATCATCCTAGAAGAAGTTTCATCGGAATATTACAATGTAATCTCGGTACGTACAAATGTTTACACTACTTAATATATTAAAAATATCACATAGTTACCATATGATTTTTATTAGTAAATAGTTTGGCTCCTTCTATTATGGCCAGATATGAGAATCTCAATTGATCTGGCGTCTGAATGAGACCCATTCGATATTTTCGCATCTCAAGTAAAATTTCGCGCACATTCACGGAACCGATGCCATTTTCCTCAATCTGTCACAAGATAGAGTGTAAAAATATGATTAATATACAGCTCATTAACTAGAGTAATTTGGACACATATTCAACGACAAGATGCATAAATAACAGAAATGCGTAGTACTTAAACATACTAGGCATCCTGAAGAAAACTTGCAACAAAATAAAAAATTGCATTATTTCGAAAACGTGTCAACATAAATCAGAAAAAGAAGATTGTACAGAAATGCATCACAAAAGCTGGTATAGCTTTGACCCCGGGAGGGATTTTCCCGCTGTTTACTTTAATTGTGCTTATGAAATTAATGACAGTCATTGCTCATAATTGACACAATAAATAAATACTTTTAAAAATGGAATTTTCAATCTTACCATCAAAGATTTCATTTCACTGTTAAAAATATGGGAGTTGCAGCTCAATGAAATGACGTAAGTAGTATTATTCTCAAAATTAAAGACCACTAAAATGTAAAATGTACGCAACTGAAGTAAAGTATGGAAATTAAATATTTAATAATGTTTAACTACAAACAGTTTTTATAAGGGTTCCAGAAACTATGTTTCTTGGTTCTATTATTATCTTTGAACCCAGTATTTGTTCACATAGCCAAACAATACGCAGGGTAAGTAAATGGGGTCTCTCAAATATACCCACATAGCCAGCTGTATTCATATAAATTGTAATTCAGCTTTCAATTACATTCTCTTTATATATTACGTTTTAATTAGAAGACTCCGAGTAGAATTACTGTGGCTACCACAAATTTGGAAGCGGCCGTCAGTGTGAACACCCGCTCATTGGTTTATATCCCGTCAGAACGTCCCATGTACAACTTCATGAAGCGGGGCTGGGCACAGAAAACCATCATGGGGGGGGGGGGGTAAACAAGGTCATGTTCACCAGACCTGCTGGATAACATTGGCGCATACATCGCTAATAGATTTTCTTAAAAATTAAAATTTTCCACTAAATTGACTGCACTCAAGACCCTGTGAATCTCAATTGGATATTTTAATTTTGCGATTGCACAATTTAATAGCGAAAAGTGGGTAAATCTTGCTCTTATATATGTAGTAAAACACTTCTCATACGTTGTGAAGTGAGAATAATTTGTAGGTCCTTGATAACTAAACATTGGTTTACGACTAAACACTTGTCTGTCTGTCTGTCTGTCTGTCTGTCTGTCTGTCTGCCCGCCCGATGGTCACGATATGGTCAGATTTTTATAAAACCTCTGAAATGTCGAAAACAGCAAAACATTAAAGAGTTGTTACTACATTCGGGCTTGAATTAGGTTACTTTCAATTAAAGTGTATAGATCACTGAATATCATATAATATTTTGGGTGTCACTATTACAGACTTGCAGATAAAAGAATACCAATCTTCCGAAACGTTGTGGAGATATTCATGACCTCACATAAACTGAAATGCAATATATGGTGACAAATTAAATTAGTGGTGTTTTAACAGAACATACTTTTTCGCATTATTTGAAACTGCTCCGCAATATTAGTATACCACAACATGAACGTGAAATTGTTTTCGACCAACATTTTTTTTTCTGCCCCGCCTCAGATTCTACGAGTTCACTTGCCGTGAGCCTTACTGCTACAACAAGCACCCACACTGGCGTTCTAATTTGGGGCGACGCTTAAAAATCTAATTGCCTCACCCCATATTTCCAACAAGAAATTTTTCGAAAATTTCTTTCGCGGAAAAAAAGTAAGGAAAAAAATTGGAGAGTTTTTTTGGTTTGAGAAAAAGGGTTTTTAATTGCATTAACTTCAAGCAGAATTTAGCGAAAACAACTACTTTCAAAAAATTGTATATGACCTTTTTTTAAGAGTTAACTTTTTTAAACTTTTTCTTTAAAACAAAAATTCATGCTTTCATTTTGTAATTATGAAAACTTTTTGCAATTTTCAAAAATGGGGAGTTCTCTGGAAATGAGACTTGCATCTAATTTTTTTTCCTGTCCCGTGTCACATACGCGCAGAAAACGTACTTCTTATAAAATACATAAATTTCAGGCATTAATTACGAAAAAAAAAAATTTTCCCAAAAATGTTGTACTAGGACTCTTTTCAAGAACTTATTGTTAGAACAGTTTTTAAGGCACAAATCTCTATCTCGAATTTTGTAATTTTTAAATGTTAAAATTTTGCAGTTATCAAAAATACAGACTTTGCCGGAAATAAGACTAGCGCCGCTTCTTTTAAAGCCCTTTCATACATTTTGTGGTGAAAATTTAAAGAAAATTGTTTAAGAAAATTTAAAAATTGGCCATGTTTCACAAAACATTACGCGAATCTCATATTTTCGAAAAAATGCACGTGACCTTATATAAAGAATAATTTCATTCAGGAAAAACTGCTCATCTTCAATATTGCAGTCGTAAAGAGACGCCAAAAAATCGAACTTTTGCAATTTTCGGAAAATCGGAGATTTCAACGAAAATGAGACCTATGCCATTCTTTTCTGCGTCCTTCACGGTATCCGATGACAAATTTTAATAAAAAAATTGGAACCATTTTTTAGAAATGTTTGAAAATGTTGCCCTAGCTTCGTATAAGTATCCCCCAAACCAAAATATGTTTAACTCAAGAGAGCCTTGAGTTCATTTAAATCGATCGGTGAATAACCATTTTTGAAAAAAATGAACAAATCCCTAAACGGTTTAGGCGCTAGCGTTCACGGCTTCACGTTTCAGACTTGGCATGAGATTTTGTGGCGAAAATTCGCCGTCTTCCGGTGCATGATTACATTACTTTGTCTTTCTACGAAGTAAACATGCAGGTAACTTCAACTTTTCGAAGAAATTTCATTAAGGAAACAAACTCTTTTAGTATCAATAATGTACTTTTACAATGCTGATTTTGTTTCAATTACGGAAGTGGAATTCACCAAAAATGGCACATGTGCCATTTTTATAAACGTACTTCACTTTATACTGAAAAAAAACTTAAAGAACAAATTTGCTGCCATATTTGAAAAAAGAATTGTTTAGAAAAAGTCTACAATTCACGGAAACTATTCATTTTCGAAAAATTGTACAAGACATTATTTAAAGACCACCTTTGAAGAAAAAAAATCCTTAACATAAAAAAATATCTGAAGATTGTGGCTGTAAGATGTCGATAAAAGTTTAAATTTTGCAATTTTCGAAAATCAGTGTATAACAAAAAATGATAAATGTGCCATTTTAAGTGACCCTTGTTCTATGAGAAGAAATAAAATAATCTTAAAATTTGAAACAGTGTTTGAGAAAAAATTCAAAATGTTAATGCTTCAAGTAAGATACACCCCAAAATCAAAATGTTCCTTCCAAAATTGGCAGGGCCTCCAGTTTGGTCCGGTCAGATCGATAGAGGAATATGAATTTTGGAGAAAATAATCTGAAAGTTTTAGGCTTTGAAACGGGCGGAGTTTTTGCCGTAAATATATTTTTCGGTTTCCAGGGCCTACAAAATGTGGATTCTGCAAGTGCCAGCAGCACAACGTGCTACAGGAAATAATTTACTACATATAGGAACAAGATTCTTTATGCAGAAGTTGGGATGATTGTTTTATAATAAAACAGGTACTAGAAAAGAGATTAGCAGGAAATAAAGAGATTTATCTTAGAAAGAGCCTAGAAAGAGCTTACGATACGGCCCCATAAGATCTACTCTTCTAAATTCTGCGAAAGACTGGTATAAGCGCTGAATTTATAAATGCAGGGAAAGGAATGTGAATCATGAAACTTGTGTCTTTTACGCCAGACCTTCAGCCGTTTTGGGGTATTGTGTGTCTATACATTAGAGTAATCCTCCGTTAAGTAATACGTCGTTTGTCCCTACTGGCTACTCGGACTTGCCACTTATTCTTGCCAGCAATCATCTATCGCCGCCCATAGTACATTTTTCAAAATGTTCTTAATTTCTCGGTTTCATAATAGTGGAACGGAAATATTAGTTTAAGAACATTAAAGAACAGTAAAACCTCGCCCTAAATGGCAATTTTCTTTGAAAAATTTGAAGCCGCTTTTAAGAAAACTGCGTTTAAGCGCTATTGTAAATGCGAAATTTGAACCTCTTTTCACAAGAAACTTCCTATGAAGTCATTTCAAGCACTTCCAGTCACAAATCCTTCAAAATCACAAAAAAGGCGAGAGAAATCTTAAAAAAAAAATGATATTAGTGTAACCCCTAAATTACCCCAAATGAACTTTGCGTCACATCAAAGAGTGCAGTTACCACTATCCCTTCGAAAAGTTTGAAGAAAAAATTTGGAACAGTTTTTGAGGAAATGCTTTCTCTTTCATATGAGCATCGCGATTATAGATTCGGTTTGGGGGCACTTTTCACCGCCTTATTCAGCTGTATCTTTTAAGGATAATTTGACAAATCAAATTTTTAATTATTTTGTTTCTGCGAAGAGTACAAGCAATTATGAAACACGTTTTCATTTTGCTCACATCGCGAAAGTTAATATTTTGCGCAATGAAAGAAAAAAATGCTATTTTTTCAGAAGTATATACTGAACTCATTACATTTTTTAAAATAAGTTTTACTTATCTTTTAATTTTTAAATTTCCTCCATAACCCGGCAATTTCAAAATTTGAACAAAATAGCATTGAATTTTCTGAAATGTTCAACATGAGACCGACACGTTTCCAAGTGAAACACTGGGAGGCTTCTGAGAAATTTAATACAATAGAAATGTCAACTTACAGGTTTGCTGCCGCGGATGCTAGACCGTCACCCCCAAGCACGTACCAATCACCAGTATACAATTGTCATCGTTACGATTTCACAGAGAAATAAACAGAAATATTATTTTCCTTAAGGAAATACTGAAACCGATCTTAAAACATGATAATCAGTTCGTTATAAACAATTGTTTTAAATTAGAAAAACAGTTAAATAATATAAATATTCCTCAAGTACATAATTGCTTCTTTAGATGTAATAATAGTGAGATTTCCTTATATTCCACATAACTAACTTGATTAATATAAATTTACAAAAAT